GCAGGTTAAAAAAAACAAGCTTGACCTATTTCCCCTCCACCACATGGGAGAGATAATAAAGCATTTGAGGTGCTGATATGCTGTCACTCTGCATTACAGGAAACAGAAATCACAGCCCTGGTTTTGTCAGCTCAAAGCAACTTCTCTGTTCTCATTTAGATACAGCTTTTATTGCCGTATTGTTTTTTTCCAAAGGCATTTTTCTCTTAGCAACTCTTCCAAACAAACTGTACCTGTTCCTTCTTTTTATTGTCCTGTTGTTAATTGTGCAATCTGACACACTGAGACCTGTAGAGCTAGAGCTCTTGGATTATTGTTTTTTTTTTGTAATTTCTATCAGCGTTGCATGTTTGGACTTCACTTTCTATCAATACTCTTTTTTAATTTAATTTAATAATTTTTTCTCACTGTAGAATAGCTAGGAACATTTGTTTGTGTGACGTGTCGACGGCAGCAGTACCTCGCCCAGTTTGGACTCATTACAGAGGAGTGTTTATCTCTGGCAGCTGTATATCCATAAAGTTTTTGGCCTCTCCTCAACTTTATTAAATAAACAGTTTAAGGACACAAATGTGTAGATAAACAAGTACCCAGTAATACTGATAAAATTTCCACCTGCTGCACACTTACTGTGATAACATGAACTGTACGTCTCCGAGAAGCTCTGCAGTGTTTTTCCTTTTTGAATTGTTTTATTTTAACCAAATCTTTTTTTATGTTCAGTGTAAATATATTTCCCAGAAAAGTTTAAGGCGTAAATCCTTCCTCTTTCAGGTTGTAGCTGTGGATCAGGCGAGCGGCGGTCTGAGCGCCACAGCTCAGCTCAAAATTACCGTCCTTGACTATAACGACAACAGCCCACAGTTCCCAAGCATCCCTTACCCCTTAGAGTTCCCTGAGGGGGATTATTCAGAAGAGAAACCAGGGGAAATATTCGCCATCGTGCCCACAGACGCAGACATCGGTCCGAATGGAGAGGTCACCCTCTCGCTTGCTTCCCACAACCCCCTCTTCAGATTCAGAGAGGTGAGTCTCAGAGGTTTAGTTCATATTTAGAATAGAATAGAAAATCACTTTATTGTCCCACAATGGGGAAATTCTGGTGTTTACAGCAGAAAAAAAGATTATAGAAAAAATTGTTACACAAATGTGGACCTTAGAAAAATGTCTAACAATAACATTATAGTGAAGAGTTAAAAGATAAACAATAAAATACTGTAAAGTGTTCTAACAATATAAAACTGTGCACCTGGAGAATAAATAACCAATAAACAGCAATGGATATTTTTACAGTAATGGATATTTGAAAATAGCAGCAACATCAGAGATGTGAAAATGACAGCAGCATGGTTATAAAGTTCTCAAATTTCAGCAAAAAGCCAGAGATTTCTCTTAAAATGAATGTTGTTGTTTCCAGGTTTGTGGATCTTGATGTGGTGTCTTGTTTTACAGGATGGGATGCTGTTGGCTGTTGGTTCTTTGGACCGAGAAAGCATTGAAACATACGACCTGGTTCTAAAGGCCTCAGATAAAGGCAGCCCTCAGAGAGAGGTGAGAGATGGCTGCAATTCAGCCTCCATTTAGAGGAAAAGTCCGGTCAGTAAGGAATAATCAATGGATCATTATTTATAACTAAAACTAATACGTTCGCAGTGATTTAATTAATTTAGCGTTAATCAGTAAAAAATAAAAACAATAATTTTCGTCGTAATCACTGACTCTGGGAGCGGCCATTTTTGCCCAAATATAGTA